TTTGTCCTCTGAGGATTCTTGGTGACAAAGGGAGCCAGGGGCAGCTCGACCCGGCCCTATAAGGGTCGAGCTTCCACCCGAGCAGCCCTCCTGGAGCCGTTCTCCTTAGACACAGAGATCTCTGTTGAGCATCTGAGAGAAAGAGAAGCATGGGGCTGCATGACTGCCAGGACCGGGAACAGAAGGCATGATAGCATGCATGCAGTACGGCCTTATCATGCCAGATATTGAGTTCCGTTGTCACCTACCTCTCGGGTAGACAGGTACCTGGCCTGGAAGCTAGCAGCAAACCTGAGAAAACGGCTGAGTCCTCTGACTGTAACCTGGGCCCTTCCCAGCCTTTACCTGTCACGGGTACTTTCCATCACTTGCCAGCTGGGTTTGGGCTCTGCATGTCATCAGTACTTTAAATGTCCTCCCCACGCCAAGTAGATAACAGCTAATAATGTCTCAACACAGAGGCACTAGAGCCAAACAGACCTCACGCCTAGCCCTTCCCCACCAGCAGCTATATGACCTTGGACTGTAACATCTCGGGGATGAGGCTGAGTTCAGAGGTGCTTATGAAGGTGAAGCGGGTTAATGCATGTGAGGTTCTGAGCCCAGCAGATGGAATTCGAAGCAATTATCCAGAAGGGGCTCTTCCCTTTGCTCGCTGAGCCTGCGTGCCCAACTGCATGTTCTCACAAAGTTCAGTGGATTCAGAGCCACACCAACTGCAGCTACGCGATTGCTTTCATTTAGAGAATCGGGCCAGGTGCAAAGAAAAGCCCAGTTGAAGGGCCTGATGCACTTGGATGGGATCTCAGACCCCTCTTTAGAGCAATACTGGACCCACCTGCCTCACAGCATGACTTCAGGCATGAAAAGTTTGGGTTTTGAAGGTTTTTGTCCTGTATTCAAATGCTCGGATTTACTTTTGAACTGAAGCATTTAGAGATGGTGAACAGAAACCGACTTCAGAAGCTGAACCTTGCCCTAGAAGCCTGAGGTATTGTGAACTCAGGTCCTTCTGATACAGCCCGATACAGCCCATGAAAAAGCGAGGCTCCCCACCCACTCCCACCCACACCCCTTTCTTATTAGCTCCCACATCCTCCTTCTGGCTCCTCCGACATTCCTGAAAATAATGCAAAGCTCATTTGCCTGTGGAAAACTAACACCAAAACAGGCTAATGGGTGTGGTTAAAGCGATGGCCGTTTTCAGGTTTATGTGGTAACATGGCCTACCTCCTTGTACCTGTGGTGCACAGCAGGCCCACCTCAGCCAAGGGCTCTGGGAAGTAAATTGTGACCCCCACTCCACCCCCGGCCATGCTCCTTCCAAAGAATTAAGTGGGAGGAGGGGAGCCTCCGGTGGCAAGGGCCCCGTGTGTACAACTGCCATTTCCTCCTTGGGGACATGTGGCCACCCTTTCTGGGCCAGCTTTTTTTCCCAACTGGTGATCTTTCTGAACACTCTTATGCAAGCATCCGGGAGGACATAGGACTGTAGCGTACTCACTTCCCCAGGGAGGCTTCATTTGGCTTTTTCCTTTGTCAGAGTGGCTACCAATCACCTTGGGATTTCCGTTGTTTTAGAAGTGATTTATTTGGGTCCGAGCTGTTTTCACAGCTGCTGCCCGGGGCTCAAAGGCACGAGAGAAGTGACTCAGGCACAGGTGCATGGCGGCTCTTGGGAAGCGTCCACTCAATCTGGGCAGCGTGGTCCTGCTTTGGCATCGCTTCTTCCTCGTTGGCACTCCTCCCGGCTGACTGGAACCCGTGGGACACTCTTCAGCCCTTCCCTTGTGAGGCCTGACCAGGTGGCTTTTTCATGAGTCCTAGAGGACCCTGGTGGCACAGTGGCAATACGCTGGGCTGCTAACCGTGAGGTGAGCGGTTCAAAACCACCAACAGCTCCCCAGGAGAGAGATGGAACATCCCACCCGGATTGACTCGATGGCAGTGAGAGGGAGAACATGCGAGCCTTGCAAATCCTGCGTCTTATATGGGCTGTGGGAAGAAAGGGAGCCCCGGTGGTGTCGTGGTCACACAATGGGCTGCTAACCTCAAGGTCCACAGTTCGAAACCACCAGCCGCTCTGTGGGAGAAAGATGGGGCTTTCTACTTCTGTAAAGAGTTACAGTCTTTAAAAAAAAAAGAGCTGTAGCCTTGAAACTCACAGGGGCAGTTCCCCCCTATCCTACAGGGTCACTATGAGTCGGCTTCGACGCAGTGATGGTGAGATGGGGGTCTTATTGGCGGTCAGGAAGATGTTAGAATCCCCAGTTATTCGCAGGCTCGTATTTTCTGTAGGTTGAAGGAGAAGGGCCCCGAAAGAGGCCAGCCTGGAAGAGTCACCGTGTCTCCAAGCTGTCCGTCTTGGGGGACTGCCAGTGACCACTGACGCAAGCTGTGGTGACTTGAGACAGTCGGGTCCGAGGGAAGCCCTGCGCACTAGTGGGTGTAGTTCCTTCTCGCTGTGTAGCAGTGGGGACAAGAGTAGACTGCAAAGGCCCAGCAGGAATTCGTCCCTTCCAGAAGGAAATCCAGATCCGTTCTTCTGGGACAGTCTGTGGCCCTTCCTTACTTTTGCAACTTAGGTCTGACCAGCCCCCTCCCCTCAGGAACGTTCTGAGAGGCTTTAAAGTCCTGCCGGAGCCCTCTGCATTCTTCTTTCAAAGGGGCTTGAAATAATAACCTCCCTGTGCTCCCTGACCACGGCCCATCTCCCGGCACGTCCCTTGGGTCCAGCAAAAGAAAGGAGCGTGTCTGGCTTTCAGAATAACCACCCATGTCCCTGAATTGACTTTGTATCATTATCTTAAATAGCCCAGTTTAACGATGGTGAATGTACACCCTCAGCGTCCACGCAGCCTCTCACCTGTGGCTGTGTGCAAGCAGGCTGCTTCCTCCTCCTCACACGCAAAGGTTTTCCAAGCCGCCAACTGGTGCCGAATCTGACTAGCACACAATCTCCAACGGAGTAAACACAGTCCCAGAATGATAGGCACTTGGATCTGGCTACTTCAGGACCGTTTGTCCTCTGAGGATTCTTGGTGACAAAGGGAGTTACGAGTTGGGCCGCTAACCCCAAGGTCAGTGGTTTGAACACGCCAGCCACTCCAAGGGAGAAAGATGAGGCCATCTGCTCCCATAAAGATTTACAGCCTCGGAAACCTAGGCGGCAGTCACACTCTAAGTCTGCACACGCCCATGCTCGATGGGGGTCACCAGAGGGCGTTTTCACACCCAGTCATCCTCACTCCAGCCTCTTAGCAGTCTTCTAGATCAGATGTGGGAATTAAAGTTGGGCTAGTAGGAAGCACTCACTCTGTGTACACGCTGAAAGCATTTTACCCTCTCCCCTGGGGGTACATGTGTGTGTCCCAGAAACAGCGCTGCAAAAGATGAGCCCATTACCATTCTTGGTCCGATTTTTCCAAAACGCCACTTGAAGTAAAAGTAGTTTGGGCCAGCTAATTTTTGAAACAAATGGATGCTGCTCCCCATTTTAGGATGAGACATGCTCTAACATGCCACAGGAATCTTTGTAAGAAGAAAAAGAAACATTTTCCTGACTGACAAATGAGAGGCTATGTAAAGGGGGCTTCTGACCTCTGAGACACAACACAGTCGTACCTTGTCATCCTCTAGGCTTGCCCTGAAGTGCTGTCGTCTCTGCCCCCACCAGCTTCCTACTGGGTCACTTTTGTGTTCTCCCCAGGGGGCAGCACCCCACCGCTGACTGCCCAGCCCTCTTAGAGGAAGGGGTGCCCTGGGCATCTCGGAGTCCAGTGCCCCCCACTGCCTTGCTCAGCCGCAGTCTCTTGTCTCCACAGTTCTGAACGACATCATCTCCACCATGTTCAACAGGAAGTTCATGGAGGAACTATTCAAGCCCCAGGAGATGTACTCCAAGAAGGCCCTGAGGACGGTCTACGACCGCCTGGCCCACGCTTCCATCATGAGACTGAACCAGGCCAGCATGGACAAGGTGAGCGCAGTGCCTCTGCCCTCCTCTCCTGTCTGCAGGGCTCCAACCTTGGGGGGGTGGATTGCGAACGGGGGTCCAGTGAGATGGCCCGGGCGGTGGTACCTTGAGAAGGGCAGGCACACGTCACTGTTAGTTGTCGTGGAGTTTTGGAAGGAGTTGGGAAAGACCTCAGGCATCAATCCACGCCAGCCCTCCCCCCCACACACGCCGAGGCTCAGAGGCTCACGGCACCCCACCTGCCAGTAGTGCTGCTGATGAACTGGGCACCCCCGCGCAGGTGCTCAGCTCTCGGGATTTCAGCTTGCTCCTCCTGAACAAATCCCAGCTCTGTGCAAGGAAGAAGCAGGCATTCTAGAAAGCGAACAGGAAAGCGCTCAGTCTCTAGAACAAGAACATATCTGTTCCTTTGGGCAACAAATGATTGGGGTTCTCAGATTTATAAAATACTAATAATTCCTAATAGAGACGTGGCAGGGAACAGACTGATGTCCTGTGCGGAAGAGGCTACTCCGCCCTCCAGCAGGCAGAGCCCCGGTCCTGAGGTGACCTCCTTCCAAAGAGCAGTCTGGGGAGAAGGGGAGAGCAGTAAGTTTACAAGGGGCCAGCCTGGCAAGCGCTGCCTCAGCCAGGCCAAGGACTCCGAGAGGTGACGTGTGGAAAGTCAGATGTGACGGACGGAAACGGCACATCACCTCTTTGACCTTCCTCCTCGCATCCCCTAACCCTGTCTCTGTTGACATAAGGCCAGACAAAACCCAACGGAGGGCCGGACTACAAAAGGTCTGGCTAGGACTCCTCCCAAGATAAGCACAGTCGGAGAAAATGGCCCCTGGGCCAAGAGGAGCCACAACTCCATGTCCAGCGTAGGATCCTGGGAGATGGGTGGGGGCTGAAAACTAAGGAAGTCCGAATCAAGTGTGGGCCCGAGTTACCGAGCGAGCAGCCTCTCGAGTCCCCGCCAGCTGGTGACTTGTTTATTATTTAAATTCCGCGGCCCGACTGGGCGCTAGGTGCACACCATGCTCACCCGCTGCAGGAGCTGCAAAGCTCAGGAGGACAGGCTTCCTCTTTCCTGTCTTCGTGTTGCACCCGGTTTAACCCTTTCTCCCTGAAGCAGAGTGCCCTCTGCACGTGGGCACTTAGTAGTGGTGGTGGGCTCTCCAATCTGCCTCTCTCCTCAACTAGACCCAGCCAGACCCAGCCACCCCCTCCCCTCCCCTCACATCAGGGCCCGTCTATTGTCTGTCTGTCCGTCCCTTTCTGAGTGGAGGGGCCTAGCGCAGGTTGGAGAAATGGAATTGAGCAGGATGGTTGAACCAGGGCTTCCAAATCTGACCATCTGAGTCAGCTCGCACCCCGCCCCTCACCAGCTTGGTGCAGCTGCTGGAGTGTCCTCACTTGTAAACTGGGGACCATCACACCGACCTCTGGGAGTTTTTGTGAGGCGGGTGAGATCAAATGAGGTCGCGGACACGTGCGTGCTCGGCACCCTCAGATGGGAGGAGTTGATATTTGCCTTCCGCCCTCAGACACGTTCCTACCCGGCTGCGTGACTGCTCGTCTCCTCACCCGACCCGGCTCCACCCGACCCGGCTCCTCTGGTCTCTGTCCCCTGGATCCCTGCCTCCGTCAGCAGCCCCATCCTTGGGAAAACAGCTCTCACCTTCACCACCTCACACCCACATCGAGTCATGCAGTCATCGTGTGCTGACAGCGTTTCCTTCTAAATACCACACGCTCTGGCCTGCCTGCTCGGTCCCCACACTCTCCCTATTCCAGGGCTTCGCTCAGATATTGCCAACAGCATTGTTCATTCATTCCAACCTATTGGAAGCCCCGTGCTAGCTAATGCCCTGACTCCCATCCCTCCCCACACTCATCCTGGCCAGCTCTCTTAGTCAGCCCGTGGATCCGCATAGGAAGCCTCCGCAGCCCCTCCTTCCTGCCCCATCTAACCTAAAGCCGTTTGCCTTGTTTCCCAAATACCTTTACTGTTCTAAGCGGACCCTACTGAGCCAACGTTATTTCTCACTCCCCGAGACCAGCGCCCCTCTCTATGCAGGCTGCCTCCAGGCCCTTGCACACGCTGCTCCCTGAACTAGAATGCCTTTTCTCCTCCTGGGAGGGCTTCTTCCACACAGCCGGCTTGCCCACTTTGGTCCTCCCTAGTTACTCTGCGGGAGCTCTCTAAAGTGGCCATTGTATGGTACTAAGTACTGATCCTCATTTACAATTACCCTCCCCTTCTGTGTGTCTGTAGGCTTTATGCTAGCAATTCATTCTGCTAGGTTGGGAAGTTAGAGAGCCTTGTTTAGAGATGAGAAGGCGCAGGCCCAGAGAGGTTTAAAGACTTGGCCAGGGCCATACAGAACTCACTGCAACCTAATCCATTCTCGACTCCAACACATGGTGACCCTCCAGGGCAGAGCAGAACTGCGCCGGCAGGTGTCCGAGACCATAACTCTTTACCGGAGTAGAACGCCTTATCTCTCTCCGACTGAGTGGCTGGTGGTTTCCAACCGCTGACCTTCAGGTTAGTAGCCCAGCACACAACCTACTGTGCCACCAGGACTCTTCGGGTCATACAAGTCAGCGGTAAAGGTAGGACTTGAATTAGGGTTTCCTCTCCTAGTCCTCGACCTCGCAGCTGCCAGCCTCATTCCACATATGTCCCACCAGCGATATCCATAAGGTGACCACAAGTCCTGATTTACCCCTGTTCAAAACAACACCTGTTGTCTGGGCTGAAGGAGTATCGTCTGCTGCGGCAGTGAGAATGCTGCGGTCTGGCTGATAACTCAAGCGGTGTCGTTCAGCCAGACTGGTCTACAGGAAATGCCTGGCTGACTACTCACTGTGTCTGTTTTTACGTGTGGCCTGACAGCTCTATGACCTGATGACTATGGCCTTCAAGTACCAAGTCCTCCTGTGTCCCCGTCCCAAGGACATGTTGCTGGTCACGTTCAATCATTTAGATGCCATCAAGGACTTCATCCAGGACTCCCCAACCATCCTGAACCAGGTGGATGAGACTTTCCGACTGCTGACTGAAGTAAGGAGTGCCACAGTAACTCCCTCCACCCGCGCCTGCTCCCATTCCTCTCGGCAGAGCGGCTGGGATGAGGGGTGGCAAAGTCTGCCAGAAAGTTCTAAACCTCTACGAGGGTCTACCCAAAATGGGTCATAAAACCCACTACCATCGAGTGGAGTCCAACTCATAGCAGCCCCTGCTGTGTTTCTGAGACTGTACATACATCTCTGTGGGAGCAAGGCAGCCTCATCTTCCCCCCTTGGAGTGGCGACAGGGTGTGAACAGCCCACCTTGGGGTTAGCAGCCCGAGGTTTAGCCCACTACGCCACCAGAGCTCTTAGCGTGGGCATTGCAATAGGCACTGCCATCTCTGCCCTCCTGGTCGCCTTCGTCGTGGGGAAAGCAGAGGCGTGGAACGTAGCCCTTTTCTCCCGGCCTCTCTCAGAGGGAGTTGGCAGTGGGTGTTCTGCAAAATCTCAAGGAATAGTCTCTCCAGGTTCTGGGGAAGTGGAAGAGATAGAGTGTCCCTGCCTGGGTGTGGTGTGGTCCATTTGTCCCAGCACCTGAGTGTCAGCCCACCCCCACCCCCCCACAGCTTATCTGGCTCCCCTCCCTATGCCCATGCCTGCCTAGCCTTTCCCTCTGCCCCTTGCCCCCTGCCTGTGCGCCCTTCTCATCGGTGGGACAGTGAAGCGGGCCTGCTGCTTTGCCTTCGGCAGGTCTACGGGAGCCTCCCTGCAGGGGAGTTCCAGGTGATCCGGCAGACGCTCCTCCTCTTCTTCCAGGACCTGCACATCCGAGTGAGTACACAGGTCACCCCGCACCACCGTGCTAGGGCAGCCGGGTGCCCATGGTCACTGTCAGTCCGGGCAGGCAAGGGCTGAGGTTCTGCCTGGCCAGTGGGCTCCCCGGGAATCAGCTCTCTGGTAATAGAGTTTTGTTGTCCGTTTTTAAATGGACCGAAGGCAGTGATGCCATCCCCACCCACCCACCCCAGTTCCGTTTGCACCTCTTTGAAATAGGGTCCCTGCCCTTGTGACTAGGGCAAGTGTGCTCCCAAACCTGCCCACCTGAGCTCCTTTCCAAAGTCTTTCCTGGGCCTTAAAATCCATGACCTCTTCCTTATCCTACACTGTCAGGAAGTCGCCCCCATCCTCCCACACACACTGCCCCCAGCCCCATGTAACTCTCTTCTCTCTTGGGCCTTCTTGTCTCCAGACCACATCCACCTCCCTGCCCGCTCCCATCTTGGAGCCTTTTGCTCTCCCCTGTGTCCAAACGCCTTCTTCTTCCACCCTGTTCTGCTCTTCGGAGAACTCCTTCAGCACCCAGCTCCTTTGCCTGTGATTCCTAAGTCCAACCTCCATCCCACCCTCGGCCCACCCCTGGCCTCCTGACCCACACCCCTACCTGCTTACTGAAACTCGGCACAGAGAGCCCCACCAGTGCCTGCGAGGTGGTGCCTGTGGCTACACTGACTCCCCAGTGAGCTCCTGTCCGCAGCCCCCCCACCCCCGTCATTGGAGCTCACACACTCGCTCAGACTGAGGCCCCTTAGACTCCCCCTCCCTGTCTAGGCTCTACCTTGTCAGTCTCTCCCCACCCCTCCCTTCCCATTTCTGTTGTCACCAGGTCCTGGGGGCTAATCACCTCCAAGCTACCCCATCTCCTCCCAACATGCCCATTCCACCCCCACTTCTTAAAATACCCTTCTGAGCCTCTCTATTTTGGGCCTGTCTCTCTGGGAAAGGACTTGAGTCCCTTCCCACAATGCAGCAAGCCGAAGGGAAAGACGGATGACATCATAGCCCAGGCTCTGGAGTCAGACACTCGTGTTTAAACGCCAGCACTAGCTTCATGACCTTGGGGGAAACTAACGAACCTCTCTTGAACTCCAGTTTCTTCATCCGAAAAATGGACATAGTACGACCTAACTCAGAGCCTGTCGGGAGGATTACGGGAACTCAAGCAGCAGTATAGTGCGGGTAGTCCCCGATTTATGACCCGGTTCCACTCCTAGGACTCTGTCCTAAGTCAGTTCTGATATAAGTCAAATACCTCATTTTTTTCTTTTCCAGTTAACATCGTATCTTTATAAATCTGGTCTTTGTGTCTCTGAGGGCTGACGACATTTACTGATAAGCCTACACAGTGCATATTATTTATGATAAGATGTACAAAGCAAAATAGACAGCTGGAATGTGCTTCGTCATCACTCAAATGCAGGACTACTGGTGTCTGTGCATTTGCTTCTGTACGGAGAGTCCAGAGCGCTGCCAGCAGGGACACAAGAAACTGACCACAGCGCTTGCCTCTTGGGAGTGTGAGCTAGAAGGAGGACGGGGATAGGAGAGAGGCTTACTTTGCATGAGACACTGTCTCGAACATCTTAAATCCTGTGTGTGCATGCGCACACACTCCAGGAAAGCAGAAACAGAGTACGTCTTCCCATGGAAGACAAATGGGCTGCAACTCCGACACCTGTGTCTCTGAGCCCCCGCAGACAACCTGTCTCCCCCAAACGGGGCCGGTGTCCTTGCGCCAGTTCCTCCCGACAGCAGGACGAAGCACCCCACGTTCTGCCCAGGCTCCCGAGGCATGCTGCAGCCCTTGGTGGCAGCGGCTGCGTCATTCCACCTCGCCTGCAGCCTCTGATCACCACTGACCACGAGGGAAAATAGGAACTTACAAAGAAGACTGTTTGCCCATTCGGTTTCTGAATGGTAAGACTGTGCACTGTGCCGTTATCAAGGCTGTGCTGGGATGTTCTTTTACGGCCGAGAGGAAAGTACACAAGCAGACAGATTGATTGCTCACTTCTGACAGCATAAAATTCTTTATAATGACTTTTCTATAGCAACATGACTAAACTGTAGTAAGCCAGAAAACATGTTAAATTTAATGGCTAGATGGGCAGGCAAGGAGACGTCAGAACTTTCCTCAAGAGGACCTGGATGGACTCACAGATCCTGGTAGTAGATGGCCACGGACTGATTTGCAACGTCAAGGCTGGTTTTCCGAGCTCAGTCTTCAAGGGTCTTCCTGCACATCGCAACCTGAGGTTGCCTGTACAGAATCCCTCTGTGTGTCAAACCGTTTTCGTAGCCGTTCAACTCATTAGCACAAGCAACTAACTGAAGAAAGCCAGCACAGTTCAGGATCTCACCTCTGCACTCTGTTTAACTGAAGGGAATGTGCGACTCCTCGTTCTGATATCCAGAACTCTGTGACATCACCCAATGGCCCGAAATAGCCCCTTGGCCCTTGACCTTATCCACTGGCGCCCCGTCAGAAACTGCACTACGGCCAATTCCATTTGGAAACCTGACCAGTGATGTCTACAAGCATCTCAGCCTCTAGAGCCCCCCACAGTTGCTCCCTAAAGGCTTAGCTCCTCAGATCACGTGCCCGCTCCCGGACCTTCCTTTCACTCAGACACCCTTCCATCATGGACTGCTCTCCGGATCTCCCCATTGCTCCCACTGTGGGCAAGCATAACCCCCCTTGGCCTCCTCACAGCAGGGCTCCCGCCCGCCACCCGCCCGGCGCTGCTTTAAGTGTCTGTGGTACGTAGTGAACAAGACAAAGCCCGGCCCTGAAAGATTCCACACTGAGAGCAAGCAGCGGGTGCGTCCGTTATTTTCATGTACGATAACCTTCATAGTCCTGTAGGGTAAAGGTATAGAGGGCAGCTGGGTAGGGACGTTGCTTTTGACCAGGAGACCAGCACTGGCCAATAGAATTCCCTGTGATGACAGGCTATCTGTGTCCGTGCGGCCACTAGCCATCTGTGGCAATGTGGAATTGTGACCACTGGAAATGGAGCGGGTATAACTGAGCAAGTGGATTTTTCATTTTAATTCCGCTCAGCTACTTGGGATGGCCGCCCTCGATTCACTATGTTGAGCACCGTCGGTTTAGATGGTGCCAGGGCCTCCAAAAGGTTCACGAAGAAGCGGAATTGAAACATAATGGACTTTTCCCACAACGTTGTTGGAGCCCACTTGTAGTTAGAGAGGCCCTGGTGGCGTAGTGTTACGAGCAGGGCTGCTGACCACAAGGCCAGCAGTTGGAACCCACCAGCCGATAGATCCCTGGGAAAAGAGGAGGCGCAGAGGAAGTTCTCCTCCGCCCCATGGGCTCGCTCTGCGTCAGAATCGACTCCCTCGGGGGCAGTGAGTCGGACGGGTTTCAGTAGGGCTAGAGTCAAGGAGAGCTTTCCGTTCTGAGGAGAGTGCACTTGGCAGAGATCTCAGGGAAGAGCATCTCAGTTGAGCAGACAGGGCTCAAAGGCTCTCCGAAGGGAAAAGCAGGACTGGACAGGCAGGAGTGACCCTCAACGCAGATTTAACAACACTGGCTGGTCCAAACAGATGTCATTCATAAATACACGAGGTGACTATTCGCCTGTAGACCAGAGTAAGAAGTTAGAGTTTATTCTAAGGGCAAACAGAAGATATTGCAGTCAGTAGTGTGATTTGATCTGTGTTATGTCTGGGGCAGGGGGAGAGACAGGAGCGCACCTAGGAAACATGTAGAAATCTACAAGATCAATCAGAGTGCCTTGATTAGGTACCCGAGGTGGAGATAGAGGAGCATGTGGAATGTGCCTCTGGGCAAGACCAGTAAGAGATTTGGAGGGAGTGCTGCCATTTACTGAGATCGGGAAAGAATATTTGGGTAGAAAATTAATAGATCTCTTTGAGTTTGACTTGCTTGTGAGACACCCAGGTACCAATAGCTAGATGTAGCCCAAATAACAACCCTGGCATCTGGACCCCTGGGGAGAGGACCAGGCGGGACGTAAGTGTGAGATCCCTCCGCATACTGCACATACCAGGAGGCTTCAAAAGTCTGTGGGGAGTGGAATGAATGACCACAGGCATTTCCCAGAGTTGGGGAAAGCCACTCATGAATGGCGGGGGGTGGGGGGTGGGTGTTTAGGGCATTGGTTCTCCTGCCCCTGCAGGCAGGCTGTGCCCAGCTGGGTCAGCATTCTTCCAGTGTCCCCACCTTACAGATTTAGAGGGAGCCCATGGGCCCGGACTTTGAACTGGCTGGTTCCAGTTTGACCCTCTGCTAAGAACATGCCTTTCCATCCCAGAGCCATGGGATCGGAATCTGTAATAATCTCACAAGCTCCCTAGCGGGTTCTTATCTGAGAATCTCTGGGGTAAAAGCCAAATTCTGAGCAGGGGAGCCAAACCAGAATGAACCAGTTCAAAGCCCTGCCGTGAATCATAAGGCCATGCAAAGCCGGGTGAGCGCAGGTGTACTCATTCGGTGTACACACCTAGGGCACGGCTCAAGCCAATTGCCAAGGCTCTTGACCACATTCGCTGAGGGCACCCCTCCTCACCACTGGAGTCCTGCCGTCACCCTGGGGAGCAGGGGGAGGGCTCACCCACAGCTCAGTGACATGGCGTGCCTGTCTTTTCTCCATAGGAAACCCAGCCCCTGCCCTCCAGGAACTCGGCAGAGAAGGGGCGGGGCTGCAGTAGGTGCCTCACAGATGTTCCGTTCCTATAGAGAGGGAGGGCACAGAGAATCAGCAAAGTCTTCTTAGAGGATCTAGTAGCTTTCAAAGGAAATAGGTTCTCACCAGGCCAATGGAAAGCAAGGAGGCGGGGCTAAGAATGACGCCCTGGGCCGAGGACCATCTTACTACAGGCAAGAGACCAGTGTCTGTGGAGGAGGAGGCTGGCAAGCAGTGGAGTGTAACTGGAACACTGTCAAACAGGCTGCAGAGAAACACTGAACGGTCTTGACCGCAAGGGGCATGGTCTGATAAGAGTCTGGAAGGGTCTCTTCAGCAGCAGAAGAGAGGATGGATTAAAGCAGGCAACGGGGAGGCCCGACAACCAGTTAGGAGGCTCCTACGAGGCACCCGGCTCGAAATGACCAGGTCCACCCTGGGAAGTAGTGAAGTGAAGCAGGAGAGTAGTGGATCCTAGGATGACACGGCTTAGTGACTCGGCAGGGTGATGGGCGATGACTTGATCAGACTTGTTCAGTGAGATTGAGTTTTTGCCACGACTGGGAATTCCAGAAGAGAAGCAGGTTTGGGAAGACAATGATGAGCCCTGTTCTGAGCAGGGTGAATTTGAGGTGCATCCTCGCGGACTTTCTGGGGGGCACTTCTAAGGGGTAGTGAGATAGATGGGCCCGGTGCCCAGGGAGATGGCCGAGCGGGAGCTCAGGGCTGGGGAGCCATCAGCATGGAGGTGAACACTGGAGAGGGGACCCCTGGACAGAAAGGGAAGATGAGTGAACGGCGGATGGGAGAATCACACCAGCAGATGCTGGGCAAGCAGGTCGATCCAACCATCCTTCTGTTCGTTTGTTTTTATAAATCATTTATTGGAGGCTCTTACAGCTCTTGTAACATTCAGTACATCAATTGTATCAAGCATATTTGTACACATGTTGTCATCCTCATTTCCTAAACATTTACTTTCTATTTGAGCCCTTGGGACCAACCGATCTTGCAGATTCTCTGGTCAAATACAGATGCACATGTGACTTTAAAATCTGTCTATTTCAGATCTGTGATATAATTGCTCTTGTTAGAATGAAACTGATGGATGGCCCAACATATGTATATATTCCCTTCTCCTCTCAAATTTTCTCTGCCCATGCCTTAACCCACATCCCTTAGACACAGAATCTCAAAGTTAAAACATGCTTAAAGGTCATACAGTCAAACGCACTGATCAGACCAGTTTACTGCCTCCCCACCTCCCTCCGCCGTACCCATGTCTGCTCTGCAGCATTCCAACACCCTCTTCCTTCCTCCCCAACCCAGTTCCAAGTCCACCGTGATGCCTACCAATGCCTGTAGTCACCCCCCACCCACCCACCCACCCAGTGGGCGGATACTATGCCATTTAGCACATCCTGCTGTATGGTGTGTGGAGGTCTTTACCTCCGATTTCATGTCATGTCTTGGGTCCCGTCCACTCTAGTAATGAGTGTTAGCCACCAATTATTGAGAGAGGACATCAAAAACTTCATGAAGAAAGCAAAAGGTCATTTAAAAAGACAGGAAAGAAAGAAAACATCAAAGTAGAGGTTAGAAGAGACTCTGAAACTTGCTCTTAATCATAGGGTATCTGAGGCAAATGGAAGAAAGGATGAGGTCAAAGAGCTGAACAGAAAATTTCAAAGGGCAGCTCAAGAAGACAAAGCAAAATATTCTCGTGTAATCTGCAAAGACCTAGAATTACAGAACCAAAAAGGGAGAACATGCTCAGTGTATCTTAAACTGAAAGAAAAGAAAAAACTCAAGCCTGGAGTTGAAGTACGGAAAGATTTTATAAGCAAAATATTGAATGGTGCAGGAAGCATCCAAAGAAGATGGAGAGAATACACAGAGTCACTGTGCCAAAAAGACCTAACGTCGTCAGGAGGTGACGGAAGGAAGAAGCTCAAGCGGCCTTGACAGCATCAGCCAAAAACAAGGCTCCAGGGATGATGGAATTCGTACTGACAGGTTTCAACAAGCTGAGATGAAGCACTGGAAGCGCTCGTTCGTCTATGCCAGGAAAGCCTGAAGACAAGCTCCTTGATCAACTGACTGGAAGAGATCCCTATTTTCACCCAATCCAAAGAAAGGTGCCCACAGAATGTCCAAACTACAGAACAGGATCACTGATAGCACATCCAAGTGAAATTCTGCTAAAACTCATCCAACAATGGTTGCAGCAGTATGCTGACAGGGTGTGGCCAGAGGTTCAGGCCAGATTCAGAAGAGGACATGGAACAAGGGATACCATTGCTGGTGTCAGATGGCTCTTGGCTGAAAGCAGAGAATACCAGAAAGATGTTTATTTGAATTTTATTGATTATGCAAATGCATTTGACTGTGTGGGTCATAAGAAACCATGAATACCTTGAGAAAAATGAGATTTCCAGAACAGTTCGTTGTCCTCATGTGGAACTTGTACATGGGTCAAGAGGCAGTTGTGTGCACAGAACAAGGGAATACTGCGTGGTTTAAAATCAGGAAGAGTGTGTGTCAGAGTTGTAGCCTCACTATATTTATTCAATCTGTCTGCTGAGCAAATCACAGAGAAGCTGGCACCAGGGGCAGAGGCGTGCTTCCTAGCAACTTGCAATACACAGATGGCAACCTTGCTGGCTGAAAGCAAGGATTTGAAGCACTGGCTGATGAAGATCAAGGATTACAGCCTTCAGTGTGGATGACAACTCGATGTAAGGAAAATCAAAATCCTCACAACTGGACCAATGGGTAAATCATGATAAATGGAGAAAAGATTGAAGTTGTGAAAGATTTTTTCGTGCTTAGATCCACCATCGATGCTCATGGAAGCAGCAGCCAAGAGATCAAAAGATGGGTTGCATTAGGTCAATCTGCTGCATGAGACCTCTAGAGTACTAAAGAGCAAGAATGTTACTTTGAGGACTATGGTGCACCTGACCCAAGCCCTGGTGTTTTCAATCGCCTCATATGTGTGTGAAAGTTGGACACTGAATACAGAAGACTGAAGGAGAACAGATGTGTTGGAATTTTGGTGCTGGAGAAGAATATTGAAGGTACCAAGGACTGCTAAAAGGACAAACCAATCTGTCTTGGAAGAAATATGTCCAGAATGCTCCTTAGAGGTGAGGATGGCCAGACTTTGTCCTTACATATTTTGGACATGTAGTCAGGAGAGACCAGTCCCAGAGAAAGACATCATGCTTGCTAGCAGGGCAGCAAAACAAAGGAAGGCCCTCAGTGAGATGGCTCGGCACGCACAGAGGCTGCAAAAATGGGCTCACGATGCTGTATCTCTGGGGTGGGAAGTGACAGTTGTGGGGACGGTGCAGGCCCGAGCAGTGTTTTGTTCTGTGGTGCACAGGGCTGCTATGGTCGGAACAACTCCGTGGCCCCTGACCACATCAAGATGGACTCTGAGGGAGTCCTGGTGTCATGGGTTATGCATTGGGTCGCGAACAGCAATGGCAGCCACTGGAACCCCCCTGCTGCTGCTCGGGAGAAAGAGGAGGCTTTCTACTCCCTCAAAGATGCACAGACTCCCGAGCCCAGCAGGACCCTGTCCTCCTGGGTCCCTATGAGTTGGAATCAATGGGAGGGCAGTGAGTTTGGGGGGTTTGAGTTCGTCAGCCACTGTGGTAAGAGCTAGTAATACATTCTCTGACTTCTTGTCACACTGACCCCTTGAGCTTATGCCATCATTCACCGAGGTTTACCGAAGAGAAACGTACGGACTGCCCAGAAAGGGTGTGTAACCTCCCCAAGACCCAGATTCAGGAGGGAGCCCGGTTGAGATCTGAGCCTAGACCCTCTGAGGCCAGGAATCCCACTGCCAGTTGACAAGTCCTGCTGTCACCGTGTGTGTGTGTGTGTGTGTGTGTGTGAGTGTGTGTGTGCGTGGCTTTATGCCTAGTTGATAGCATCACTACTGTCATTGTGTAGAAACTGAGAGTTGGACGGCACCTTCAAGCTTCTCTCTCTGACATTCGCAGCTGAGGAAGCTAAGGCTGAGTGAAACTGATTAAGTGCTGCAGTCCGATGACATTTCAACTGTGAGTCACCCAGCCCTCTGTAGGTTGACAAGCCAGGGCGTGGGGAGAAGCATAGAGTGTCTCCAGCCACATCAGAGCTGTCCACTGGAACGCCAGCCCACCCTTCTCTTCAGCCCAGCGCCTGCATGAGACCTCGGGCTCCAGGGTCAGAAGCAGACCTTTAAACCAGGACTCTGAAAGGGTCCATTCTGGCTCGAAGCCCTGCTGAGAATTTGCATCTCCACCCCAGATACACTGAGTCAGATTTTACATTTGAACAAGATATCCTTCTATCACCCAGGGACCTCTAGGAATCAACTGAGGATCTTGTTAAACTGTCCGTTCGGATTCTGTGTCTCTGGGGGAGTGGAAAGCAAATTCTGAGCCAGTTGGGACAAGCTGATTGGAAACCCTGGCTTAAATCCCCCCTGTGCGCCTGGCAAGCTGGCTGGCCTGGAGGAAGTGTCGCCCCCCCCCAACGCGCTGAGCATTCTGGATCCAAAAGATGGAGGCCCTGCGGTTCCTGGCGCTCCAGGTTGGCGGCTGCCTGGACAATGGCCAGGGAACCAAGGAACGAGTGGAGTCCGTAGTCACCTGGGTTCTGAACCCCGGCCCTGCCTCTGCTGTTCTCTTTGGGCCAGTCGCCTCGTCCGGTGAGCCTCTGCTTCCACCTCTTTTCAATGGGGGTCAGACTGCTCCCCCAGCAGGTGTGATTCAAGAGAGAGCCCCTCCGGAAAGACCCTGTAAGGGGCAGGTTCTCTCATCCCTAGCCATTACACACTTTCTGTTCTCAGGATGCTTGTGCCTGTGAGGACATCACAGGAACAATGACAACGGTATTTCCCCCCTCAGGTGTCCATATTCCTAAAGGACAAAGTTCAAAATTCAAATGGTCGCTTTGTGTTGCCAGTGTCCGGGCCTGTTCCCTGGGGAACTGATGTTCCCGGACTTATCAGGTGAATGCTTCCCTGTAATTGTCACCGTGGGGGGTGGGAGTGGGGGGCTCCCACAGAGGATGCTGTGCTGCCCAGGCCCTGAGGTTGTGCCCGGCCCTTCCTGTCTGCAGTCAAGCCTGAAACCCCAGTTCTGCCACTTAGCAGGGCAAGCCACCCAGTTGTGGAGGGCTGACTTCTATAACGTGACCAGGAGGATGACCAGTGTCATAAAGTGCTACTACAGCACCTGCCCCATAATCTGAGCTCCATAGATGCTACCGTGTTTCATGGCTGTTGCCAGGTATTCTGAACAATCAATCATCTTCCTCTGGAAGGAGCGCATGAACCCCTTTTTGTCCCGTAGTACAAAGAGAAAGCAGCCTGGGGACTAGCCAAGCTGGGAGAACATTCCATCATGTCTTGCTTTGTATTACAGAATGTTCAACAACAAAGGCCAAGAAGTGAGGACGGCCCAGTTCAAGCATGGTGGAGACTACGTCACCGCGTCCAGAGAAGGCTCTTTCGAACTGTATGGAGACCGTGTCCTGAAACTGGGCACGAACATGTCAGTAAACCCTCCCACCCTGCACGAGTCCAAGGGAGGGCCTTTCATTTAGGCGTCCCTGCTGACCAGCAGAGTGGCTTCCCCCTTACTCCAGCGGACACAGAGTCCTGACATTTCAGACAAGATCAGGCGTGTTCAGGGTGGTATGGCCGTAGACAAGCCCTGACATTTCAAAGGGCACGCAAGACCTCCAAATAAGATAACACAGAAGGTGTGTGTGTGTGAGAGAGAGAGAGAGAGAGAGAGAAAGATTGATTTTACATAGCCACCCAAAAAATGAGCCAAAAACGTATCCGCAGTGGACATCTCCAACGACTTGGCCTTCACATACTGTTACATGGTCTCTCAGGTTAAATCATCCCTTTATGAGGGCAGCCAATGCCACTCGCCTTTGCCAAGGTGGGTTTCCTTGGGAAGAAGTGAAAAATGAGTGACCCCTCCACCTGAGTTGCAGTCTGTACTGGCAGCACCGTTTGGGATGCCGCTCCAAATAAAACAGTGTGCTAGGCCTATGGGTCTGAAGGACATTGTTGCAGCGGGGCTGGGTAATGTCTGCACCCCTTTCTGTTGCCCTCAGGTACAGTGTGAACCGGCCCGTGGAAACACACATGTCGGGAGCATCAAAGAACTTAGCTTCGAGGACAGAGGTGAGCGAGCTGCCTCCCTGGCTTATCTTCAGAGCGGATTTCTAGATACCAGTCCAGTCTGCGCAGGTGGGGGTGGGGGGAGGATGGGGGAGGGTGGGAACCGGTTCCATTTCAAAGCTCACTAGCACTTCAGACCTCCTGGTTTGCAAGCTCTTCTCCGCTCAGCCTTAGAGGTCTCTTTAATTGTAGTTTCTCATGGAGACTGCTAGTGATCTGACTAATTAGGTAATTTTAGGCTGGGCTCCACAACCATAATTAAACACACACACCCGGACAAGCGAAATAGCACTGCGACGATGTCATTAGGTCCGCAGCCCCTGGTGTGGGTTCTCACCCTCCAAGGGTCTGTCCCGCAGCCTCTCTCGACAGTGATGCAGAACTGACCACTCCTCCCTGCCATCGATTCCCGCTGGTGGCGACCCCCAGCGCCCAGCAGAGCTGCCCTGTGAGTTTCCGAGGAGACTAACTCTTTAGGGAGCAGTAAGCCTCATCTTTCTCCCCAGGGATGCAGTAGCCCCGTTTTACACGGGGGTGCCGGTTCTCCTGCCTGTATGAACTTCCATCAAACTAGCTTACTCGATTTCTACAGGACAAATGGTGGAATATTCCGTTTATTCCACACACAAAAAAACTGAACTGCTTCCGTGGGCTGGCACCTAGGGACTCCAAGCTGACAGAGCTGTGACCCCCTTCCTGAAGGGGGCCAAGCACCCCTAAGAAACCAACGGTTTCTTTGTGAATGTTCAAAGAGCCAGCTGGGTATTCTGAACAAAGCGCTGGGCCTCGGGAAGAAAGCCGGCATCCCCGGGGGCTTGAAAGAGTACAATCAACACGGAGGATGAACGGCGCGGCGCGGACGCAGGGAGGCAGCGTCTCGCCCACGTGGCTGGATCAGACGCATCCGAGACTCAGCAGGGACCGTGGGGCCTGAGCCTTTTGGACTGTGTTCTGAGGGCCAAGGGGGCTGTTTCCCGCCAGGAATTGCAGCCAAGGGAAGGAGAGGCGTCGGAGCGGCCGACAGGAGCAGGTGTACTCCTGCCTGTGGCCACCTGGGGGCAGTGCGGTAGCTCCCGTGGAACTGTAAAGTACCTGGGGACCAAGAGGCCTTGTTGTGTGGTGTCCTTGCTGCCTCCTCCCAGGAGGAAGCTGCGGTGCGAGGAGGGGCCTTCCACCCATCCCCAAAGTGCTTGCTGCCCATCCAGAGGTCCTCTGCTCCTGAAGCGGATGACGTTGCTTTCCTTAGAGCCCTTTTCCTAAGCTTTCTTTGTCCTTCCCAGAAACCCTGTCAAGAGTTACCGTTTACTTCACCTAGCGTCTCCGGAGCCTTTGACAGGAACTTCGATCCCGCCATGTGGCTCAGAGTCCTGAAATTGTTTCCGTAGGAAAATGTTGCCCCCAACCCTCTCGCTAAAGAAGAGCTGAATCTCCTGGCCAGACTGATGGGAGGCATGGAGATTCAGAAGGGCAGCGGCCCTGAGCCAGGATTCCGGTTGAATCTCTTTACCACCGATGAAGAAGAGGAGTAGGTCTTAAATCTGTTGTTTGTGTTCGTTTGTTAGGATTTGCATGTCTGTCTTTAGGGGGAAAAAACAACAACACAGTTTGATGAAGAATCCCCAAACGACCACCATAAACCAGTGACAGCCCCCCCCGCCCCCCACCAAAAGAGGGCAGATGTGGAAACCACAAATGCAGTGCCCATTCATCAACCTACTTAAGTGAATCACCTATTGAGAGAAGGCTTCACCAGGATTCACTTGCTGGGACCTTCTAGGCTCATTCACAAGAGAGTTTTCATTGCTGACGTAGCAGAGCCCATCCAAACTAGGCATGTGGGCCCGAGATGGTCATTTTAAGAGGCGCCTGCTAGCATCCTGCTAGGAGGTTGGGGCTTGATGATTTGGAGATTAGAACAGAACCCAACCACCAGTGACCCCCACTCAGATCCAGCCCCCATGTATTCAAGGTAGGGCTGTGATCTGGAAGTAGACCACCCAGCCTTCCTCCGACACACCTCTGCCGGGAGCTGACCCGCCAACCTTCCGAGGAGTGGCCGAGCACTGCCTGCTAGCTTATCTAAAACCAGCAACAGTAGGGTATTTCACCAAGATTGGCAAGTGCGGGTCCGTTTACAAAGTACTTTGGAGTTCATTATCACAGGCGGTCCTGCCCACAACCAGATGGTGGGTGGGGTTGCTCCTGCTCTAGTAACTGACCCCTCTCGTATGCCTCTGTGGAGCAAGCGGGGCCTGTGTAAATGTTGGCAGCACAAAGATGGAGAGTCTGAGACCATGCCTTCAGCACCCTGCCAGCTTAGTGCGACCATGAGCGTGCCCATAGGTTCTTTCCAATGGAGCCCTGAATGCTCTAACAGAGGGCAGGGTGTCTGACTTTACCCAGGCCGCTCAGGAGAGTTGGCCTGTGAGCTAGGTCTTGGAACTTGCTAAGCAGAGACAGGAGGAACGCATTCTTGGCAGCATTTAGTATGTGCAAAGGCACAGAGGTGCTGGGGAACTTGACTTAATCTTGAGTGTGACCATGTTGGTCGGGAGTGCAGGGAAAAGTTCAAGGGAGACGGCAAAAGGTGAGGTGGGAGAACCTAGATTACCAAGAGCCAGTTTGCCACAGTAGCAGGGAGAAAGCCCCACCCACAACCTTTCTCTTTACCCTCTCCTCCAGACAAGCGGCTCTAACCAGGCCAGAAGAGTTCTCCTACGAAGTGATCAACATACAAGCCACCCAGGTACTGCCAGCGGCGAAGGCCCGCCGCCTTCTCACAGCAAGTGGGTGGGTGATGGGACTCCGAGAGGCAGTGGGCTGCTCCCACCTCCTCATCCTCTGGCCCTCCCTCTCACAGGACCAGCAAAGGAACCAAGAACTGACCCGGATCATGGGGGAGTTTGCCATCACGGACCAGCCGCAGGGGAGCACCAGCAAGGGAGACGACTTGCTCACCATGATGGATGAGTTGTAGCAGAGTTGGCGGGGCACAGCCCCCACCAGCAGGCCACAGGCTGCCGGAGGGCCGCCCTGGGGGAGGAAGGTTCCCAGGATCCAAAATGCCGCTACTGCTTTTCTACCAAGTGGAGCTGTTCCCGCCGCTCCCCCTTGATGGTCTGTGCGGCCTCGCCCAGGAAGCCAAGGCTCTTGAAAGCACACGCATGCAGATCTTTTCAGCAAAATATACCTAAAGTGGACCTCTCCTGCTTCCGTCCTCATTCCACGGCAACCACCCAGTGCATCCTGGGCAGAGGCTGGCGCCACAGGCAGTCGGGGGGACTAGGAGAACTGGCCTGCGGGGCTCTGCATGGCACAGAGGCTGGCAAATCACAACAGTCGCCCGAGCTCCCTGGAGCATGAATTCGTGGCAGAGGCAGTTGTTTGAAATGGACGCCCTGCCCTCCACGAAGCAAGCACCTCAAAGAGGCCGACTGAACACAGCCCTGGCAGGAGCGCCGTGCTGGGCCCAAGCAGCCATGTGTGGGCATCTGCAGGGCTCCACACACCTGCCTCCATAGGTGGATGTGGGCGCACCCCACCCAGGGACGGGCAACCAGAAAGCATGGCCCTTTTCTGCATGACTTGGACTCCGCCTCCCACTGTCTTCCTCTGCCCACTTCCCGTTCTTGCCTTGAAAGACTCCAGCAAGATGTGCTCCGACACCTGTCTCTCCTCCACCCTCAGTCGCCAAACAGAGGCTTCTGTGGGGTGCACAGCAGACACGTGGTAGACCGCGTTCCCCTGCCCGCACCAGCTGAGCGAGCAACTTCCCCATGCCAGGCAGGCTGCCAAGTCTAATCGGGATCCACTGAAACGGTCTCAGGCTAGGGAGAGGGGAGGGACCCTCTGTGCTTGAGGAAGGAGAGGCAGAGCCCTCCACCACACACACACACACAACACACACAACCACCCCCGCTGGCTTGCAGTGCCGGGTGCATTCAGGGCCACCGGGATCCAGAGGCCAAGCTCCCTCCAGGGAACACCTGGAGTGGCAGAAGGTGGGAGAGGTACAGAGCTGAGCTGACGGTCTGTCTCTGGAAGTGGGGCCAACGCCAGGGGCCGCTTCAGCCCTCTGTCCTGGAAGAGAAGTTGGCCTGGTTCTGAAGTGAGGGCCAGAGAAGTGGCCTTGGGCCAGCCAGAGGCCACCAACTGAGAACCCGAAAGGGAAATCTCCATTGCTGTCTGCCCATTAAGCCAGAGGCCACCAACTGAGAACCCGAAAGGGAAATCTCCATTGCTGTCTGCCCATTAAGCGAGCTGCCTTTCCTCCCCTACAAAGAACCCCCAGGAGGGGGCTGGGCAAGACAAGGATTGTGCTGGCATGGGCCTGTGAAGTGCCTTCCGTCTCCCTCGGTTTGAAGCAGTGTGGCACCAGCTGGAATTGCCTGATGCAGTGGCTGCATGCTCCTACCATGATGTGACTGCCCGGAGCTGCCCAGTCTGCCCTGAGCATGTACTGGATGTGACTGCCCGGAGCTGCCCAGTCTGCCCTGAGCATGTACTGGAGGCCAGGAGATGCCAGGCAGCCTCAGCCCCAGTTGCCTCCCTTTACCTATCCCAGAGCGGTCCTCATAAATAAACAAGATCCCAATCTCCGGCCAGGCAGCAGTGCTGTGATGAGGTAATCCCCGCGTTTCATGTCTCTGGACTGGCACCAAGATTTGAGAAAAACAAGTTTACTCTCATGGTGGCTGGGGCATCTGGAGGACACACGGGAGCGGGGAGAAGAGCCAAAGAAAGCAGGCGCTGGGGACAACTGGAGCACACGGGGACTGGGGACTCACAGGTCAGTGTTCCTTTAAGACCAGGCCAAGGAGGCTGTACAAATGGGTTATGTGCGGGACTACCAATTGTGAAGGGTGGCCCTCCAAACCCACCCGGAGACCCTGCGGAAGCAAGGCCTGGCGGTCTGCTGCTCAAAGATCACCACCTTGAAAGGCCCGTGGAGTGTGGTTCTGCTCTGCACACCTGGGCACACCTCTGGTCCCTGGAATCAGAGTGGTCACTGTTGCAGAAGGCGTTCGGTGGTGCTGTGGGTTACTGTGTTGGGCTGCTAACCACAAGGTCAGCAGTTCAAACACACTTGCCGCTCCATAGGAGAAAGAGGCGGCTGTCTGTTCCCGTAATGATCTAGAGTCAGGAGCCCTGGGGAACAGTTCTCCTGGGCACGGTAGGGTGGCTGAGTTGAAATAAAGTCAGGTGAAGGCAGTGGGGGCTATGTGCATAACCGCTGAATACCCTAAAAACCCCCACCAAAGGGGTAGGGAGCTGAGCGCAGGCCCCTGAGGGGAAGATGCACCAGGTTCGGTGGCAGGACCCCGGGCCGGGCCCGTGGTCCCTTTCTCGTCCCAGACTTGTCTTGCGTCAGCTCCACCCACCCCGAGAGTCCATTTGGGAAGCTCTGTGGCAGAGAGAAAGGGTGCAGACCCGGCTTGCCCAGGGGACTTGCTGAGAATTAGGGTCTTCACTGGTGCTGCCCGAACCCCGTGGCGCCTGTGCTTGGGGTACCTCTATGCGCTCGCTCTCCAGTCTGCTGTGACCCTCTTCTGAATTATGACCCGCACTGTCCCGCTCGCATCCTGCTCACAGTGCCAGCATGCAAGACACACAAGCCACCACCCGCTCCCTGCCATGGGGTCACTTCCAGCTCCCAGTCACCTGGCCTTCGGCACAGCAGACTGTCCGTCCTCACAGGAGCAGACAGCCTCATCTTCCTCCCTCGGCGTGGCTGGTGTGTTTGAACCACTGTACTGACCCAGCAGTTACCCCGCCAAGGCTTGGCCCACAGCTACACCGGGGCTCTTCACTTGGTAGCCATTTTTAAAGGTAAAACTTGCTTTTCCCCTTTGATCCAGATCCCCAGAGCATGAAACCAGACTCCAGAGGTCCCCAAGTCTACACAGGGTCAGGTTCCCTCATCCCTGGGCAGCAGGTGTGAAGCAGTCTGATGTGCCCCTCTGGGTGGCAGCCACTGTCCCTTACCCACCAACTCAGTCACAAGGGACCACAGAAAGAAGAGCACGTTTAAACTATGTATAGTTAGCACAATGCCTAGTCTTAAAGATCCAAGTTACAATTAGAAAACAAATACAACTTTGACCCGCTCCCTCCCCCCTTTCCGTTATGCCCCATACCCTTCAGCTGCTGAACTCCCAGACAGCCTACAGTAAAGGGAATTAGAAGTGTAGCCAAGAGATTAAAGAAGCTCCTTGGCAGGTGACTCGCCCCTTCTCTCTCTTCATTTTCCCTCCACCTGCAGGCTCCTCCCCATTTACCCACCAGCTTCACAGCCATGCGGGCAGCACCCCCTACTTCTGCCTAGCGCCCCATAGCCCCTCCTATCGCTACACAGATTCCCCGGCCACCGGGTCCCAACTTGGTTAGGTCCAAGAGCCTCTCATTTTCCTTCCCCTGGCGTTTTCTGGAAGCTCCTGGCTCTGTAACCTACTGCTCTCCCAGTCAGCCCCACCACCCCTGGCTTCTGCTGGGGGCCTGCCCTGTGTCTAGGCTTCAGTGTAAAATCCATCGATGCTCCCTCTTTCCTGAAATATGCCGAATACGCAAATGCACAGACCAACGTTGGCTAGTGCTTACGGGGATGAGTGCCGTGTGGGGAGGCCAGGGGAGGCGCTACTCAAGGCAGGCAGAGTTCCTGTTACGGTTGATGTAGAACTTTGGAAACGGATAGTGGTGATGGTCGCATAGACAGTGAATGTAACTAATGTCACTGAGTTGTACACATAAAACTGGTTAAAATGATGTTTTACTATGAGATATAAATATATATATATATATTCTACCAAAATAAAATGTTTAAAAAGGTGGGAGAAAAAGTCTGTCAAAATAGGTTAATAACCAGAGAAAAGCACATGAGATACTTGACCTTTAGTTCATCCCTGGCTTTTCTTTTTCCATTCTTCACCCTCCCTTCCAGAGCCCACGTGCATGTGCATGCGTGTGTGTGTGTGTGTGTGTGTGTGTGCATGCGCGTGTGTGCACACTATTAGCTCAGGAATCTGGGTCTCTCCTCCTTCCTGTTACAAATTCACTTTCCCGGAGGCGGTTCACATCATTCTCATACTTAGGATGTCTTAAAACCAAACTCGTACATTTACTTCACTTTCAAGAGGTTTGGACCCCTTTAAAATTAAAGTGTACACCAAGATGCTACTCCAGACAAGACAACCGGAGGTGCCGGGTAGCCGTTGCCAAAAATGTTACAATGGAGATGACCTCACAAAGAGGGGAGTTGCCAGCTGCCAGAGTTTCTGTAGCCTGCCTGGTGTGAGGGTTGACACTTGGAGCAAATGACTCGGGAGTCAGCTTGGACTCCCAGTGGAAACAGAACCACAGAAGAGCCCATTGAAAGGGAACCGGGCAAGTCAAGCCTCCTGAAACGAGGCCCTGTACTGGTCAGGGTCTGGCGTTGCCAGTACTGGCCACTTAAATAGAAGGGACATCGGGCAACTCACAGAATTGCCAGGAAGGCTGCAGAGCCATGAGAAAATAGCCAGGAACCAAGGAAGGGTCGACAGCAGGCAGCAGGGAAAGACTTCCAACAGGCGGCACCACTGGAAGGAGACCCCGAGAGTTTAAAGAGTGCTGCCGCTGGTTTGTGGTGCTTTTCCCAGTCTGACGTCTGAGCACAACTGAGTTTAGGTCTCAAGCACACAGTAGCTAACCAGCACCAGATGCAGTAACAGCTGGCCTTTAAATTCCGGGTAGTGAGGAAGGAAGCAGAACCCCACCTCCCCCAAGATTGTGATTTCTCCCAAACACGGGAAAAGGATTTCAGTTACTCAGTAGACAAAAATGAGCCCCACCACCACCACCACAGGCATGACCCCCTCCACAACCCTCTCACCCCCCTGGACGGGCCACCACATTTCTGGGTGCACAGGGTGGCTAAGGGTCAGAACCAACTCCCTGGCACCTAACAACCACGTTAAAATGTAAGTGACTCCTCCCGCCCCCAGCCAGATTCCATCTGCCCCCAAAGACTGCTGGGCTCTTTCCAGGGTCTTTAACGTTCATCCCTCCTTTACATTTCTACAGCCACCATCTTCCTTTAGATCCGTAACCAACCCGTCTCCCCACAGCCCTGACACTAGTGTTCCGTGTGCAGCTGTGACTAAGGCCTTGTCCCTGCCCCAAACCCCAAGAGATCAGCAGTGAAGACACGATGGACAATAAGTGTGGCGAGCCCACTTAGAATTAGCAACCTAGGAACGCATGTTCTAGGGACCAGAAGAGAGGCATCACTACCAACTGGGATGTAGTGAAGACTTCAGGAAGGTGTCATAATTGAGCTGAGCTTTGGGAAAGATACTTCAATGGTAACATCCAAGAACAAACAAGAATCTGAAGCAGATGGAGCCCACAGGGCATGTTTGGGGGCTGCTGGGGGGCCAAGCCTGACAGGGCAGTGGGTCTCAAACTCTAGTGTGTATTGTTTGGTATCTGGTTCCTGGGCTCTACTTCTGATCCCGTAAGTTTAAACTTGGCTTTAGCAAGCACCCCAGAGGCCCACACTCTGAGGCCCACACTTCAGTCCTGGTTGGACAACGCCATCAGGAAGGCTGAAGAATTGATCTGCTTGGATTCTGGTTGTTTACAAAGAACACCGAATAGATCGTGGGCTGCCAGAAGAAGGAACAAACGGGGAAACGTGCAGCCAGAGGGCTCCCTGGAAGGGAGAACGGTGAGTTTGCCTCGCTTGCTTTAGACCTGTTGCCAGCAGAGACCAGTCTCTGGCGAAGGGCATCCTGCTTGGTAAAGCTGAGCGTCGGTGACAAAGAGAAAGACTCTCAGGATGGGCTGATAAAGCGGCTGCAAAAGCAGGCTCAGACCGGGCAGCAGTGGTGCGTCAGGCACAGGACCGGGCAGTGTTTCGGTCTGTTGTCCACAGGGTCTCTGCGAGCCCGAACCTACAACTGTCCCCACAGCCGACGTCTAACCTTACAGTCCACACTCCTTCCCTTGACTTACAAGCGCCTACCTGCCCTGGCCCCGCTTCTCACGCCGGAGCCGCACTTCCCGTTTTCCCAAACTGCGACGCTCATTTGCACCGGGCCTGGAAGACTTCTGCAAAGCTGTCTGTCACCCACCTCCGCTCAACGGACTTCTCGGGACCTCAAGGCCGCCTGGTTTTCTCTCAAGAGACTTATCCTATTTTTCCTTGTTTAGTCTCCCTTGACCCCACCACCCTGCTACCCGTCACCAGCGGATCTACGCGCCGTCAGATGAGACAGCTCGTCTGCTTGGTCACGGCAGACCCAGCACATGGGAAGGCGGACATGGACGACTGCAAAGGGAGCCGCCGCCGCCAGGGGTCCCGAGCGCGCGGCGCGGGGCATTCTGGGGGTTGTAGTTTCCGACTCGTCGCGGTGACGCGAAGACTGCGCGCCGACGCCCTCTCTATGCTCCTGGGGGATAGAGTGGTCTCGTTGCGATGGCTCCTCGGGCCGACCGCGGCTGGCTGGAGGCGGCCCGTCTGGGAGCGGACTAGCTTCGGCGGCGACCCGAACCGGGGAAGCGGAAGGAGTCCGGTGCGGTGGGTCCCGGCCCCCTCGGTGTTGGGACTCCGGGGCCGGAGCGCGGAGATCCCGGAGCCCAGAGGACGGCGGGGAATAAGGAAACCGCTTTCTTTCCGCTTTACTGAGTGTAGCGCCCCTCCCTAAGTCCATTCCCAGAACTCTGTGAGTACAGGGTCCTCATCGTCCCCATTTCTCCGGGGGCGGGGGGCGTGTAACAAACTGGGAGCTGCTAAGTGGCTCGCCGGAGGGCTCTCTCCCAGGAAGCGGTGGGACCTGCTCTTGAACCTGGGTCCTGGCCGGACTCCAGATCCAGTGTACCCTGGGCGGACCTAAACCCTTGCTCGATCGCAGAGTCCTCAGGCCCAGAGGTGCCGTGACGGGTCACTAGATGGCCGATCCCGCTCCCACCCTTTCGCCTCCGCGGTGTAGTCTGACTGGTCTCGCTTTCTGTCCTCCTGCTCAGGTCTGGTCTGGGGTCTGGGCGAGGCTGTAAGGGAAAAAAAGTTTCACCACCTTCCACTAAAGGTCAGAAGTTAGGGGATGGAAAAGACATTAATACAAAATCAAAGCATGTCAGAAGCAAAGGAAGGTGCATTTAACGTAGTGAGATTCTGTAAGCCTGGTGTCCGCACAACAGGAGTTCTGAAAGTGGAGGCCCCAAACCAGCACCTGGGAACTTGTTAGAAATGCCCATCCTTGGGACCCACTTCAGACCTACAGAATCAGAAACTCTTGCAGGTAAGGTCCTGCAATCTCTTTTAACAAGTCTGCTAGGTGACTGGTGTCGGCCATGGATTCTCAAACTTCACTGTGCCTAAGATTCACCGAAGGATCCTGTTGAGATGCAGGTTCTGCTTCAGCAGCTTGGAGGTGAAGCAACAGAGCCTGTTGCTGTTCTACAGCCTAGTGACGCTAACACCACCATTCTCTGCCAGTCCACCCACCAGAGAGTGAGTGACCAGGTTACAGACTCTAGAGCAGTGATTCTCAAAACTTGTCTGCATGTTAGAATTAGCGTACCTGGGGAACTTTTCAAAACTAAGGTACCTGGGGCTCGCCCCGACCAAATGAATCAGATTTCAGGAGCGTGATGGCCAGGTGATTCTGGTGCTCAGTGCTGGTTTGGAACCACCAATGTGGCCTTTCAAGTAGGGCAGCCATAGATTTGAGTCCCAGTACCTCATACCTCTACTTACCAAGCACGTGGCTTTGAGCCACTTACTTAAGCCATCCCAGCCATACATGTCTCATGTATAAAAGAGGAGGTATGAGTAATCCTTGGATTATAGGAGATGTACATGAACCACCTGACCTCCAAAAGGATAAACACATCTTGGGGAGGTGGGGCAGGCGGGGACGGGTGGGGGAGGTCTGTGCGGGGGGCATTCTGTGTTAGGACCTGGTGTAGGGGAGTTGGCAGCTGCCCTCTCATCCTCCCCCCAGCCCCCCAGGCTGCTATAGTTCCATGTGTGTTCTGTGTGCTTTTGCCCACAGTGAGGAGCAGCCAGCTGGTGCAGAAGGATGGCGCTGAGCCACTCTGTGAAAGAGCGCACCATCTCCGAGAACAGCCTGATCATCCTGCTCCAGGGCCTCCAGGGTCAGGTCACCACCGTGGACCTCCGGGATGAGAGTGTGGCCCGCGGACGCATAGACAACGTCGATGCCTTCATGAACATCCGCCTGGCCAACGTCACCTACACGGACCGTTGGGGGCACCAGGTAGAGCTGGATGACCTCTTTGTGACAGGCCGCAACGTCCGCTACGTCCACATCCCGGATGACGTGAACATCACTGCCACCATCGAGCAGCAGCTGCAGCTCATCCACCGGGTGCGCCACTTTGGTGGCCAGGGCCGGCAGGAATTTTCTGCCAAAAAACACAAGTGAGGCTGTGTCAGCCTCGCTCGGTCCCACCAGAGTTCTGCTGAGCCAGCTCCCTGTCCTGAGCCTGAGCCGCCGGGAGCAGGGCCCATCCCAGAGACGGGGGTCACACAGAGTGCCCCCTACCACAGCTACCCTCCACCAAGCTCTACCTCGTAGGCTCACCCTGGGCTGGAATCATACTTCTCTCTCTTGTGGCCTTAGGGTAGGTGACAGTCCCCTCTTTGGATCACTTACAGCTTCATTCCTGATTGGCCGGCTTAAGGCATTTTGCCGAATCGTTTTTTGTATCAACCTTCTGCCGGTGAGGATTATTAAATGAATAATAACCCATCACTGTCCCTCCCACGCCCCCTTTCTCTTAACATTTGTGGTCATGTTCTCATAAGACCAGACCCAGATTCGAACAAGTCCCTGACTCATGCACTCCCTACCTTCCCTGTGTACTAAGACACTGGTTCTCACACTCAGGTGTGCTTGGGGAATCACCTGGAAGCTTGAAGAGAAACCAACACTTGGGGCCAGAGCTTCAAATCAGTTCAGTCTGGTTCCACCCCCGTGCTGAGAATATGCATTTACTGAATCCAAATGTACAGTTTAACAAGATACCCAGGTGACTCCTGTGTATACAGGCCGCCTCCATCCCTTCTGATTGAATTCCTATGGGGCATGGCTGAGACATTGAGCTCTTTAAAAAGTTTCCCCCCAAAACCAAACTCAACTGCTATCCAGTCAATTCCAACTAGTAGCGACCCTAAAAGACAGAGTAGAGCTGCTCCTGAGGGGTTCCCAGACTGTAAATCTTTACAGGAGAAGAAAGCTTTGTCTTTCTCCCGAGGAGCAGTAGAGGTTTTGAACTTCTGGCCTCGTAGTCAGCAGCCTAATGTATAACCCTGTATGGACACTACCAGGGTGACTGTAAAAAACGCTCCCAGGGAGATTGTAATATCCAGCAACGTCTGCGAACAGCTGCCCTGGGCGAGTACTTCAACTGGGTAAGGTGGAAAGTGGCCCTACTCTTCAGACCCCTTGTGGGAGACTTAGTCTCATTTCTGTTTCCTGAGGTGGAGAAGTTGGGAGTATCCTGCCCCTCGCCTCAGAAGCTCTGCCAACAGCAAGAAATCAGTCTCGGCTTCTTTGAGTCATGGGCCCTTAAGGAAGAGGGGTCATGGGGCTAAAAACCCAAACCTGTGTGGTAGCAATCTTGGCATTTCTATAAAATAGTTTTCTGAGGGGCTTCACAACGTTCATGGGAAAATTCCAGTGTCTTTTCATTCCGGTTTTCCACGGACTTTTTGAAGCTCCATCATACTCTGACACGCACGGGGTCTCTTCCAGTTCGGGGTTGACTCCAGGGCAACTAGTTGATTCGTTGGTCCCCGAGTGTCCCTGTGCAGCACAAAGCTGCTACTTCTAAGGGTTTTGTTACCTCTCTGGCCCTGGCCCTAGCCAACAGCCTCCAGGCGGGGCTAGAGGTCAGGGCTGCCTCCAAGCCTCAGTCCCCGGATCCAGAAATCCGGGATTTTCAGTTCCTATCTCTACACAGGAATTCCTTCCACTCCTCTTTGGAAGCTAGGCTCTTGAAGTTCAGAAGTGAAAGATGGACTGTGTGGGTCATCTTTCCTGAAGTCCCGGCAGCAGTAGCCACTTGCACAGGGAAGGGCGGAGGGAGACCCGAGGAAAGAGGGTCTTCCACCTGCTGTGTCCCCCTCAGAGTTTGGGTTGTATGCCCCTCATTCCCATGG